TTTTATTGTGTACTGTTACTTACTAATAGTTAACATAACTGAAGCATTACCGCTGATCCGTAAGATATACTACTTAGAAAGTGTATGTACTTCCTTGAGTCAATCCTGATGTTATATTGAATGTTGTTGAGGTAGTAGTGCCTACACTAACAGGAGTATTACTAGACAGTTGATAGTAGACCTCATAACCAGTAGCTCCTGATACAGAGTCTTACATGAGCTAAACCAGTACTTAATCTTGTAGCAGTTAAACCAGTTGGAGCATTGCATACTGAAAATAAGCTACTAATAATTGTAATCACCAACCTGATATATTGAATGATGAAGTACTATTAACTGCAGTAACACCTGGTCCACTAATAGTACCATCAGTTACTCTATCATTAGATACAATACACTGATAGTTACCATCTTCTCTCAGTCTCACTGTTACTGTCACTCTTGTAGCAGATCCTGATCCATTCACTATCACACGAGACAGTTCCGTAGATATTCCATTCCCATTCACTGAACAACTGACAGTAGTAGGAGGACCATCAGAGACATTAAAACTGAGACTGAAGACTGGAGGAGTAGCTAATCTACTAGTAGAGAGGAGAGAGAACTGCATAGTAGGATCAGCATCAGGACCATCTGTAAAAAAGGAAGTACATTAATTATAGTCTATATTCATCACATACCATTGTTATTGTATCCAGTATATGCTCCAACCACTATAAATAGTGTTTGATTCACTCCATTCTCGTCAGGAATTATACACTTGTATAAACCTTCATATCCTGATAGTTCATCATTTCTATCTGACCACTGAATCTCTTACTGTACACTGGTCTAAAAGCTGATGAATCATCAAATGCTCCATCAAATAAAGGTATTTCAGTTCCATTAAGATAATACCACACTCCAATATTAGCACCATTGTTAGCACTCTGACACCACAAAGCATCATTGATATCATTAACATCATTATTCTGATCAACATCATAAAACTGGCTAGCATATATTATAGAGTAATCAGGTATAGTCCTGTTCACATAAGGTAGATACAGTTGAGTGCCTGCATCAAATTCATCCAATAGAATCATTAAGTTTATATTCTTACCATTACTAGGCAGGTTATTTGGCTGTTGTCCTTCAACTCTCAACAGAAGGAAGCCAGCAAGAAGAATCAACATCTTCAGAGAATAAACTCACACAAGAAGATATGAAAATGGAAATGCATACTTGGTAAATAACAACTCACATGAGGAAACATTTATACATGTAGCTGTTAAGACTTGTACATTCAGTTTGATGGTACACAGCTTATACTAATTTTCCTAAATGTATTTTATGTTTTGCAGTTGAAACTTTTCTTTGCTTAAAAGTATGTGTACATTATTGTAGGCGTCTTGTTCCAGGTGAGAGTATTGATCTTATTAAGGACTCTAAAAAACTGAGTAAGTTATACTATTAATGCAATAATTGGAAGAGAAATAATGTGTTTGTGAAATTATATCATTTATATGTTCTGTTCTGTCTTACAATTGGACAATGCCCTGTAATCAGTAATAACAAATACTCACCCTACAAAGGTATTTAAAAAAATAATACGATGCTCTGATTTTCTCTTCCCTTTGTAGGATCAAGGGCAGCTTTATTAGAAGGCAGTGCAGGAGGTAAGGGAAAAGGATCTGATACTGGCAAAGACTTACTTGTACGTTGAAAATAACTGTATTAATAATAGCAGACACACGCACAAAATTTTAATTATTGTCAAATTTGGTATACTCAGTGACAAAGTACTAGTAAATTTGGGCCACATACATTAGCTGCCGTGCAACCTCTTGCTCCGTAAAAGTTTATGTTTAATGACAAAGACACTTCACAAATTAACGTTGCACTGCACACAATTAATGCAGTAACATTATTAAATAGTTAGTAATTCATATTCAGTAGAAGGTGGTGGAAGAGGAGTCTCATATTCATTATTAGTTGTATCATACACTGGCTCAACAGTTGATCTATTAATAATAACTTTAAATAACAATAATAATTTTATTTTATATAACTGACTGTGTTTGTTGTACTGTATTGTATGCTGGACTATCCTTCATTAGTATATCATCAGCAGTACTGTATGCATGTGTAGACATAATGTAATAGTCAATAGTCTAACTGACTTTGTTTTAAATTCAGCTGTAGCATAAGCTGGACTGCATTCCATTACAATATCATTATCTGATTGTCTATGATTCACAAATTTTTTAAAAACATTTGCAATAAATGAGTATTCTACCTCTTTCTATTATTATTAGTTCTTTTTATGTATATCATTACTATTAATATCACAATTATTGGTATAGCCAATAGTGATACTAATACTGCTGCACCAATTATCCACCAAATGTTTTCTCCATTATTCACTACAGTTGGCATAGCAGTAGTGGCAACGGAATAAGAAACTATAAACATAAACTGATTAATGATATACTGTAAAGTAAACTCATGAATTGACTTACTTGTTGTTGATGATGCTAAAACAATGACAGTGAGAGTTAAATAATACCTATTAAGATACAGTTGCACTGCATAAAGTGTAACATTACCGGGTGGAATTGGTTGAGTCCTCTCTCCTTCATAAATGATCCCATTAACATTAAATGATATAGATATAGAGAACAAGTAGTTCAGATTAGGATCTAATCCTCCTATTAGACCTTCAGTAGCATCACCTGGGAATACTCTCATTCCTGTCTCTACTTGTCTCTTCTTTCTTAAGAATCCGGAGCTATTGGTTGACTCATAATAGACAGTATAATGGCTAGCTCCAGGAACTGAACCCCACTCAGCCCTCACTGCTGTAGAATTGAGCTTTGTTATAGAGAAGGTTTGAATAACAGCTATAGAATAAAAAATTCTACAAACAATGTAATATTTTAATCATTTACGTATTTGAGCAGTATATTCACTATCAGTCCATT